CTAAACACATAGAAAAAGTTGGTTCTCCCATAGAAAGTAATAATAATATAATAGTAAAAATAAAGAATAAAGGACTTTAGATCATGATTCATGAGACAGCAATGAAAGATACATGTAGCATTTTGCTAAATACAGGCACATCCAATTTTAAAATTTTGAATATTAATTGTAACCATATTTTTTTTTTCCCGTTATCCATTTAGTACAATCACATTTGGCCCATCGTATTAGTGATCCGTGAACCATCATCGGTGAGCTCGTTATAATCGATTTGGGAAAAGATAATGCTTCTTGCTCGAGCTCCTTTCGCAAGACTATCCGCCCGGACATTTAGATCCCTCGGAATAAGAGATAAAGTGCACTCTGAGAAGCTCTCTTGAAAGAAGCGGAAGGTATCTAGTTCTGCATTAAAGGACGACCAATCAGCTGGAACCTCAATCATACGCACCAGATCCGAACAGTCGGATTGAAAGTGGACCGAAAATATATGTCTCTTTCTCAAGCAGGACATAGCCCAGAGGAGGCAATCCATCTCGGCATGTAGGACCGAGAGGCTTCTACGGCATCCCTGAAGTCCAAAAAGTTCAAATCCTCCGCCATCCACAAAGCTCCAACCGAGGCCGCTAACCTGTCCGTGATTGATCCATGAGGCGTCAATCCGGCATATTGGGATTTGCGGTACCTCGGGTATCGCAATGGTGTCCGGTGGAGGGCCAACTTCCTCAACTTGAGCGTCGCCGCTGTCCTCAGGTTGGTTCGCAATTCTCCAACTTTCTGCTTCCACTTTTGCATGTATCCATGTATCCTCCGGGGAAATTTCTTTCCCTTTGAAGATCTTCTCGTTTTTTGCTTTCCAAATAAACCATAGGATCCAAGGATAAATATCCTTTGTAGGATCCGTCATGCCTAGCTCTTTTGTTTTCCAAAAGAGGAAGTTCATATTTTGATAAATAGAAATATTCGGGAAGACACCCGGAAGGAACGGAAAGTCCGATAACGCCCAGACTTGTAATGCCGGGGGACATAAGAACAGTAGGTGGTTTATAGATTCTTCAGGATTCCCACAACCGGGGCAACTCTTATCCGTTCCCATATGCCTGTAGGTTAGGTTTTGGCAAGTAGCAATACATCCTGATAAAGCTTGCCACATAAAATGCTTCATTTTTCCAGGCGTCCGTACTTTCCAAACGTAGCTTTGAAGAGCTGTGATACTCGGTTCTCTCACGACATCCAAATTCTGATCAAGGTTTGATTTCCTAATCAGGTCATATCCGGATTTAACCGTGTATATTCCTGTTTTAGTATGGTTCCACGCAAATCCATCAAGGGTACGGTTCCTACTAGGTCTCAACCCAAGGATAAGAGAGACATCCTTAGGTTGGAAAAATTCTCTTAGAAGAGGCTCATCCCATTGCTTCGTATCTTGACGGATAAAGGAGTAAACTAACACTCTTGGGTCCTGAAGTCCGATCTGAAGGGTTGCTCTTGGTGGACGGGCCCTGGCATCGGGTATCCAAGGTTCACTCCACGCCCTCGTATTTAGTCCCGACCCTATTGTCTTCCTTAGTCCCATTTTAAGATACGGTTTTGCGGCCAACATACTCCTCCATCCATAGGATGGTGAGTAGACATTTCGATCCTCTAACGGGTCTGATTGTCGATAATATCTTCCTCTTAGCACCCGAGCCAGAAGAGATGAAGGGTACTGAATGAGTCTCCATAGTTGCTTTGCTAGCAAGGCTAGGTTAAAATCATTTAGATCTCTAAATCCAAGACCTCCCATGTCCTGTGGAATACAAATCTTGTCCCAGGCAATCCAGTGGATCCCACTGCTAGATTGTTTTGAACTCCACCAAAAATTGGCAATGGCGCTCCGAAGTTTGTCTGTAACCCCTTTAGGGAGGAGAAAACAAGACATGACGTAAGTGGGAATGGCTTGAGCCACTGATTTAATCTGAATCTCTTTTCCACCCTTGGAAAGAAGTCTTGCGGACCAATTATTAACACGATTACTTAGGCGTTCATGAACAAAAGAGAAGACCTTCTTCTTTGATCCACATATTTGCTCTGGTAGGCCCAGGTACATGCCCATACCGCCTTCTGTAGAAATACCTATGGTATTTTTAATATTTCGTTTGAGATCCGGGTCCACTCTATCTCCAAACATGATAGATGATTTCCCCAAATTCAGTTGTTGTCCCGATGCCATTCCATAAGTGTTTATGATTTGGAGAATCTCCGCTCCTTGTTGGATATCCGCTTTACAGAAAAACAGGCTGTCATCAGCAAAGAGAAGGTGGGAAACTGGGGGACTTGCTTGAGCAATTTTCAGCCCAGAGATTCGCTCCTCTTCCTCTGCTCTCTTAAGAAGCAAAATAAGGCCTTCTGTGCACAGAATAAAAAGGAAAGGGGAGAGAGGATCCCCTTGCCTTAAGCCCCTCGACGGTTTGATGTTACCTTTAGGTTCTCCATTAATAAGGACCTGGTATGAAACTGATGAGATGCAAAACATCAGTAAACTGACCCATCTCATTGAATATCCTAACTTGATTAGGAGAGCTTCAATAAAACCCCATTCAACCCGGTCATATGCTTTGCTCATATCTGTCTTGATAGCCATAAAATTTTCCCTGCAATTTGTGTTGATACGGAGTGCATGGAAATTTTCTTGTGCTAACAGAATATTATCTGTAATAAGCCGTCTAGCCAAGAAGGTCGATTGTGTCTCTGATATGATGGTTGACAGTGTTTTTTTGAGACATTTACATAGAAGCTTAGAGATGATCTTGTAGCTCACATTACACAGACTGATAGGTCGGAATTCCCCCATTGCTCTAGGTTTGTTTATTTTTGGGATAAGACAAATATTAGTCTCGTTAAGTCTAGGATCAAAAGTTCCAGAACTGAAAAAGTTCTTAACCAGTTTAACAATATCGTGGCGAATAAAAGGCCAGAATTTTTGGTAAAATTTGCTTGTCATACCATCAGGGCCAGGAGCTTTGTCCGGATTAATATCAAAAAGAGCCTCTTTAATTTCTTTCTCCGACGGTTCCTTTAAAAGTAATTGGTTTGTGTTATCTGAGACTTTCTCGGTAATAAACCGGAGGGAATTTTCTGGGTCTGAGGGGATAGACGATGAGAAGAGGTCTTGAAAATACGTAGAGGCCACTTTTTCTATTCCTCTTGCATTTTCCACCAAATGTCCGTTACTATCTTTAAGGGAGACGATGCGATTCCTGGCTCTCCTTTGTTTAGTGAGAGTATGGAAGAATTTAGTGTTTTTATCACCGTCTTTGTGCCATTTCTCCCGACTCTTCTGTTGCCAGAACATATCTTCTTCCTTAAGGGCAGCACAGAGTTTCCTCCTGATGTCTTCAATTTCCTCTAGTGTTCTATTATCATCATCTTGGGCTAAGTCCAGTTGTTTTTTCAATTCTTCGATCATTTTTTTCCGAGTTAGTCGGGAAGGATTTCTTTCAAACAAGATGTTTTTCCGGCATTGTGCAACCTTTTAATGAAAATCTCGACGTGAGATTTCATCAAAGGGGCCCACCCGGAAATGATTGTCTCTTTAAAACCAGGCTTTCTAATCCATCTTTTATCGAATCGAAAAGATTTTTTCTTCCTTATGTTGTCGATTTTTATTATAGCTAAGACTGATCAATGATCCGATCCCCAAAGTTTCATATACTTCATTCGAAGAGTGAAGTATATTCGTTATATATAATAATAATTCCATTATTTATTTGTATCAATCTTTGTTGCCGCTCGTTAGTCGAGAAACTATCATCACTTTTTAAAAGAAAAATTGTTTTACACCTGTATGAGTTTAATAATATTTTTTGGCTACATATGGTAATGCTTTTTCTTGTGTTATATACGAATAATTTGCCTATCTTCTTTCACAACTTTTGCAACCTTTTATGCCATTGACAGCCTAGACCCTCGATGTGTGATCTCTAAAATACTACTAGAAAGTGTTTAGTTATAATTTTGGTGAACTACCGAATAAAGAATAAAAAAACGAAATAAATGTCGTTAAAACAAGTGAAAAAATTAACTAGAAGCCTATAAAGCTATAATTAATTAGTTTATGTTATCCTTTCAAGACATTAATTTTCCTCATTTACTTATTTGGGGACAAAAGAAAGGCTTCAGGGTCTTCAGACTAGGTAACTGCCACAAGGATTATACTTCTTCAGGGAATTTCTTGATTAAAGTCTAAATTAGGGACTTACAAGTTACAAGTTACAAGTTACAACTACAAGATTGTTTACTTAGTTTAGAACAACTAGACAAAAACTAAACTATATATTTTACCAGAGGTTAACTAGGTAGACAGCAAAATTTTTGCAGCATTTTTTTTAATAATGATCAGATAGCAAACTAGTAAATAAGTTTTTTTCCTGTGCACTTAAATATATTAAAAAAAATATATCATATGAAACGTATCACTATGTTATTATTGTTTTGGTTGAAATGTTAAATTTATTACTCAACAAAATGAATGTTTATGTTCAAACGACAAAAAACATAAAAAAGAGAGTAAAGTTTAAACAATGTGGAATAGAAAATGGAAAAAGGGCTTGAAATGGCATAATATTTACAAAAAATTTCGTGTAATATCAATTTTACTTGTTTATAATTTTGCTATTACGTTATTTTTTTTCCTAGTAACTAGTAAGTATCGAAAATAGCTTATCTAATGCACATATGATAGTTTATTTGACAACTCGTCTAAAACTTAAAAAAAATATAAAATTACCAATACGCTTTTCTTGTTCTCCATATGACCATATCGTTTGTGTGAAGCATTTGACATCAACCAACTACGTAGTCAATATTTCAACCATGACCTCTTTATTTCGAATAACGTTATCTTCTCAATACTATGATAATTCAAAAGCTCTTGAATAAAATAAGATAAAAAGAGAAAAACCAAAAATTGATGTATCTAATCTGTTACCAAACTGTCATTGGCTTAGTGGGGCAGACATCCCATGTGCAGCCTCCTTGGCTTCTGCTTCAGAGTTTCATCTTCTTCTTCTTCTCTCTCAATGGCCCATCTTTCCATTTCCACTTTCATTTCTCCACAATTATAACCAAAGCTTCAACCTTTTTTCATCTCAATCTCTCTCTGTTTTTTCCTCTGTTTTCTCTCTCTCTAAGATATGAAGAAAAGAAGAGCCTTTCTTAAGTTTTCGTTTCTTCTTCTTCTGATTCTCGAGTTCTCTGAAGCTGATTCAGATGGAGACGTCTCAGCGATGCTTGCACTTAAGAAAAGCCTAAACCCACCTTCTTCTCTCGGATGGTCCGACCCGGACCCGTGTAAATGGACTCACGTTGTCTGTACAGGCTCCAAACGGGTGACCCGGATCCAAATCGGGCATTCAGGTCTTCAAGGTACACTCTCTCCTGATCTCCGTTCCTTAACAGAGCTCGAAAGGCTTGAGCTTCAGTGGAACAACATCTCTGGTCCTGTTCCTTCTTTAAATGGCTTATCTTCATTACAAGTCTTGATGCTTAGTAACAACCACTTCGAATCAATCCCTAGTGATGTCTTCCAAGGTTTGTCCTCTTTACAATCTGTAGAAATCGATAACAACCCTTTTGAATCTTGGGAGATTCCAGAAAGTTTGAGAAACGCTTCTGCTCTTCAGAACTTCTCGGCGAATTCGGCTAATGTCTCTGGTAAGTTACCCGGTTTTCTCGGACCGGATGAGTTTCCCGGTTTGTCTATTTTGCATTTGGCTTTCAACAACTTGGAAGGTGAGTTGCCGTTGGGGTTGTCTGGCTCGCAGATTCAGTCACTGTGGCTCAATGGTCAGAATCTAACCGGCTCGATCGATGTTCTTCAGAACATGACCGGTTTAAGAGAGGTTTGGCTTCATTCCAACGCGTTTTCGGGTTCTTTGCCTGATTTCTCGGGTCTTAAAGAGCTCGAGAGCTTGAGCTTGAGGGATAACTCGTTCACGGGTCCGGTTCCTGCGTCTTTGATCAGTCTTGAGTCACTGAAAGTTGTGAACTTGACAAATAATCATCTTCAAGGACCAGTTCCTGAGTTCAAAAGCTCGGTTTCGGTTGATTTGGATAAAGATTCAAATAGCTTTTGCTTGCCTGCTCCTGGTGAGTGTGATCCTAGAGTGAAATCTTTGCTTTTGATTGTTAGCTCCATGGAATATCCAACGAGGCTCGCAGAGAGTTGGAAAGGGAATGATCCTTGCACGAATTGGATTGGTATCACTTGTAGCAATGGGAACATCACGGTTTTTAATCTTGAGAAAATGGGTCTAACCGGGACGATTTCTCCCGAGTTTGGATCCATCAAATCGCTTCAAAGAATCGTTCTTGGAACAAACAATCTCTCTGGTACGATTCCACAAGAGCTTACAACGTTACCTAATCTCAAAACACTCGATGTTTCAAGTAACCAGCTTCATGGGAAGATCCCTGCTTTCAAAAGCAATGTGCTTGTGAATACTAATGGCAATCTCGACATCGGTAAAGATAAAAGCTCTTTATCTCCTCCTTCTTCATCTTCAGATGGTTCAGGATCAAGGATCAAAGGTGATAGTGATGGGAGAGGAGTAAAGTCTTCGACTTTCATAGGAATCATCATTGGTTCGGTTCTCGGTGGTCTGTTATTGATCTTCTTGATCGGTTTACTAGTTTTCTGCTGGTACAAGAAGAGGCAAAAGCGGTTAGGTGAGAGCTCAAACGCGGTTGTGGTACATCCAAGACACTCAGGCTCGGACAATGAAAGTGTTAAGATCACAGTCGCGGGCTCAAGCGTTAGCGTTGGAGGCATAAGCGAGACATACACGCTTCCCGGTACTAGCGAGGCAGGAGATAACATCCAAATGGTTGAAGCAGGAAACATGCTGATCTCAATCCAAGTGCTTCGTTCAGTGACTAACAACTTCAGTGAAGATAACATTTTGGGACGAGGAGGTTTCGGTGTTGTGTACAAAGGCGAGCTACACGATGGAACCAAGATCGCGGTTAAGAGGATGGAGAATGGAGTGATTGCTGGTAAAGGGTTTGCGGAATTCAAATCAGAGATTGCGGTTTTGACAAAGGTTAGGCATCGACATTTGGTTACGCTTCTTGGTTATTGCTTGGACGGGAATGAGAAGCTTCTTGTCTATGAGTATATGCCTCAAGGGACATTGAGTAGGCATTTATTTGAGTGGTCAGAGGAAGGGCTTAAGCCTCTTTTGTGGAAACAGAGGTTGACTTTGGCCTTGGATGTTGCGAGAGGTGTTGAGTATCTCCATGGATTAGCTCATCAGAGCTTCATTCACAGAGATCTAAAGCCTTCGAACATTCTTCTTGGTGATGATATGAGGGCTAAAGTTGCAGACTTTGGACTTGTTCGCTTAGCACCAGAAGGGAAAGGATCGATTGAGACCAGAATTGCTGGAACATTTGGTTACTTGGCACCGGAATATGCAGGTTAGTTACATGGTTAAACCATTCATTTATGTCTCATTTTTATTGATCAAAGATTGTTTCTTTATGTTAGTTAATTAGTTTGAGTAAAGATTGTTTCTTGATGATGAGTGTGATCTATTTCTTGCAGTCACGGGTCGAGTGACCACAAAAGTGGATGTGTACAGCTTCGGGGTTATTCTAATGGAACTCATAACAGGAAGAAAATCTCTAGACGAGTCGCAACCAGAAGAGAGCATCCACTTAGTCTCTTGGTTTAAACGGATGTTTATCAACAAAGAATCATCATTCAAGAAAGCGATCGATCCTACGATAGACCTCGACGAAGAAACCCTAGCCAGCGTTCACACGGTTGCTGAGCTAGCAGGCCATTGCTGTGCACGAGAGCCTTACCAAAGACCAGACATGGGACACGCGGTCAATATTCTGTCTTCACTCGTCGAGCTATGGAAACCTTCGGATCAGAATCCAGAGGACATATACGGTATCGATCTCGACATGTCTTTGCCTCAAGCGCTTAAGAAATGGCAAGCTTACGAAGGAAGAAGTGATCTTGAATCTTCGACTTCATCGCTTTTACCTAGCTTGGACAACACGCAGATGAGTATTCCCACAAGACCTTATGGATTCGCCGAGTCTTTCACTTCCGTAGATGGAAGATGAAATGAGACTTCCTCAAAAACTCAGATTTGTTTTTTTTTTCTTCTGTATATTTTTGTGTGTTCCTCTTTCTTCACTACTCACTTCACAATTCTTTCATGTGTTCTTGTCACGCAAGTAACATTTAGGGCTTTGGATTTCTTAAATATTATATCTGTTGTTTGTTTTGTTGATTTAGGAAAAGGCGACGTGTGTACTCTTTATGTTTGTGAAAATGGTAAATGACAGTGAGGTAGAAGAGAGGTTGGCATTGGATCCATCTCCACATGCCTGTCTCTTTTGTTTGGATCTTTATTTTATTTATATATTTTATAAGTTGCTTACTTAATTAGTTTTTGGACTGATTGCAATTGCAATAAAAGACATATCGGTTTCGATATTCAAATATAAAGAGGATATCTTAATCAAACACCATGTCTTCGTTGTCTCCTCCAACGGTTCCTATGGAGCTCCATGGACACCCGCAGAAGCTACTTGATTCAATACATCATTACCTACATAGTTTCGATTGTCCTCTCAATGGATCTGTATTATTTTATGTACTCCTGATAGCTCAGTATAGGCGTAATTTCTAACTCTTATCGACCGAGCTTTCATCATCTTTAACTCATATTTTTCCCTCCCTTTTTTTACTATTGGATAATATAAAGATGAAGGAAAAAAATCGGTAGTGCACTGATCACACTAAACTCTCTAGGTACTGCTTTGAAATTTTATCTCAAAATGATTAAAATTGTACTAAGTTTCTTTGTTTTCCAAATTTTAATGATTGAAATCGTACTAAGATTCTTCTGTCTAATTTGGCTTCATGCTTGTATGTCAAACTCACTATAGCTCCATATTACTTAAGAAGATATGATTGGCTCACCATTTATTATATTAATAGCTGCATGTGCCCTAACCAATGAATTGTTCATGCTCTAATATTGGGAGGATATAGGATGTGAAAAATCTATCCATTTTATTTCAAGGTTGCTTGAATGATTATGTTGTCTGGTTGGGGGAGATAAACTCAATGTCAACTATAAGATAGCTATTTGAATTTGTTTTAGTGTTTTTAGTTTGTTCAGTGCACAATTTTTGCTTTATAATAATGACAATTTGAGTTTTTATTGCAAAAAACATAGAAATCGATATAAGCATACAAATCAACAAGACACTATGACGGAGAAGGAAGTGAAAAAAGCCGAGAAAGAATCTGAGGAGCAAAACTAGCCCTCTTGAAGAACTAGCCCTCTTGAAGAACTAGCCCTTTTGAAGGAGTTTCCGGTTATTTTCTCCGATGGAATCGTCTATCTTATCTTTATCATGCTTTGTATTTTAATTATGTTATATGTTCAGACTCTTTGGTAACGAGTTTCCAGCTCACTTGGATTGTTAAACGCCGTTTAAATTAATATAAATAAGATTTTTGAAAAAAGAAATCACTACACTAAGGTAAATTGTAAGATATAAATTAAAATTATTAGATTGGTGAATTAATGATAACAAAAAGTTGACAATTATACCCCTACAGTTTGGGAACTAATTGCTCGTATTAGCATTAAATGAGACTCATTTAATGTAATATCATTAGTATGTAAAATCAAGTAATAATTAATATTAACTATCTCTGAAAATTGAGTATGCAGACGTTCTTGTCACATTTTCTTTAGAATGTATCACATCCAATAACTTTTTTCTTTTATTTTGAAAAATTAATATCATATTAATATGTTTAGTAACCTAGGAGCATCTCCAAACTAGACTTCATATCTTTAAATTGAAGTTTTATGTACTTCAAGAAAGACTTTATATCTTCAAATTTTCAATTTGAAAGGTGACACTCCATATTTAAAATTTTAGATCTTCAAATTTGAAGTTTCATCTTTTCTTTTGCATTTTAATCCTTACAATTACTTTATAAATAATGTTATTAGTTATTTTTTTTTGTTTTTTTGTCTCAATAATAAAAAATCTATTTAACCTCCAACATAAATACAGAGAGTAGTTGTCAGAATCATCAAGTATTTTTTATTTCAAGGAGGAGATAAGTTTCAGATTCATTTTGGAGTTTCATCAGCAAGATGATAGCCAATGAAAAATGTATGAGGAGAGGACATAATAGATTTAATTTATTAGACTATAAAACTTCTGAAAGGAAAACTTGGTTACTCTCCACTCTTTCATCGAAATTGTTTTAATTTCTTTTATTTGCATTAATGGTTGTATTGAGAATGTTTGTGTATCTTGTAAACTCTTTATGATAATAATATATTTGATTTTCTGAAAAAATTTATTTTTTGATTTTCACTTTGAATTCTGCAAGGGATTCACTACTCAAATATTATCACCGAAAAGCTGACACATCAACAAATAACTACACAATTAATTATATGATTAGAAAATATTTTGAACTATATATATTTTTTAAAAAGGACGCAGAAGGTAACACATGATGTAAACACAATATGTACTGTCTAAATCAGAATGATCGTTTGAAAAGTATCAAAAGGGAAACAAAAACGATACCTAAGGCTAATCACGATCAATTATGACTTGTAGCTACGACCCAATACCAAAATTAAAAGCAAATTATATCGATTTATACAATATAAACTGAGTTATATCGATTTAGCTCATGATCTATATGGTTCATTTTAGTTAATTTTGGTTCATCAATAATGTTATTCGAATCTGTTTTTATATTTAAATTAAATGACTTTCTTATAAATAATGACATATAAGCAAAAACGCTCTAAAACTATATCTCAGACACCGGCACATAAGCAAATCGTTCTTGAAATTCAATGAGAACCCGACACATCAATAAATTACTGCACAATTAATCATATGATAAATTAAGCGGACTCATTGAAATCTATTATATATATAATAATTTTTTTAAAAAAGTAATGAGATCTCATATAAAGTGGATACAATCCATAATGTTTATAATATATAACCGTTATCATCCATAAGTTACAGTTTAATAATCTATTGTTTTTTCCAATATGAAATTGGTGAATTGTAAAGAAAACATCGTATATAGGAGATATCCTGCCTATGAGGTAGATCTCTATTGGGATGTGGAGAACATCTATTATATTAAAACAGAAGCACATTTAGTACTTGCTTCCAAACACTCCTAATTTTTTTAAGTGTTTAAAATAATTTTAATAATTATTTATATTTAATTTCGAAAATTAGTTATTAATTTAAATATTTTTAGAGTTCCTTAAATATAGGTAATTTAGATTTGATTTGATTTGATTTGATTAAAAATAATAAATCAGATATTAATTTAGATTTGATTTAAAGATTCTAATTTAAATAATTTCTATACTATTAAATATTTTTATCAAAAATATCTAGAATTTTTGAAAAAAAAATAATTCACATATGAAAAATAATGGTCATATTTGAAATATAAAATATTTATAATGATGTAAATGATATGATATTTATGTTGCTTATATAATATATTTACGATTATGATATATTTACAAATTAATAATAAAATAATAGGTAAAATTCAAATGTATAATTTAAATATTAAAAATATATTTTTTAAAATTTATAGAAGTAAAAATATATATAAAAACCGGGTTAAAAATATTTTGGTAACTAAAATCACCAATTTTGAATTATACATATATATCGAAAATATATTTTTCATACAAAATAAAAACATAAAAAATTAAAAATTATTGTATACACTATAATGTGGTTTGAAAAACCAGTTGTACACTCCCTTCGTTGATTAAATTTTAGAAAACTATAATGCTAAATAATACCGTTAAGGAAAATTCTTGGGTTCACCCATAGGAGTGAATGAATGAATTCACCCCCTTTCATTTAAGCCAATTAAAATTTGCCATATAATATTATATTTAAAGAAAAATAAAAAAATAAAATTAAAAGATTAAATACTCAATCAAATATTTTGGTAAAAAATATATATATATATAAAATAAATAATGTATATAAAGATTAGAATTTAGATTTAAGTTATATTTTAATTTTTTTAAAAAGTTTATAGATTATGATTTAGAGTATAATAGAATTTAGGATTTAAAAATTAGAATTTAAAGATTAGGGTTTAAAATTCCGAAAATAAAACAAATAATTATAATATATATATATATATAAATATTTATTTATTAAAAAAATATAAATAAAATTTAATATTATGCTTGGGTTCACTATTTCCAATTTAGGTTTTAGTTTTTCTTTATTTAAAATTCCAAAATAAAACAAATAATTATGTAAAAATATATTTTTATTAAAACTAATTCTACATAAACTTCAATATTATGTTTGGGTTCACTATTTCCAAATTAGGAATTAGTTTTTTCCATTAAAAAATAATTTAATATTATATTTGGGTTCACTATTTCCAATCCAGAGTTTAGTTTTTTTTTTCTTTTAAATTTCGAAACTAAAATAAATAATTGTGTAATAATATATTTTTATTAAAAATAATTCTACATAAACTTTAATATTATGTTTGGGTTCACTATTTCCAAATTTGGCTTTAGTTTTTTCTTATTTAAAAAAATATTTAAAATGTGCTATTTTGGTAAGTTATTTTAATTAATTTTATTATATGGCAGATTCTCATTGGCTAAAATGAATGAATTCACCCCTAGGGATGAACCTAAGAATTGTCCTACTGTTAATACATCTCAATCTTTTAACAAATATTTATATTATACGGTACCGAAAAGTTAGAATTATGTTTTTATAATAGTTTATTTTGAATTAATATTAGCGGACGGGTTAAAATTATATTTTTATAATCATAATTAACTTTAATAATATAAAATATATGCAAACACAAAATCAATATTTTCACGTATTAAAAAATATATTTATAAAAATAATTATATCTAAACTCAAAAACACAAATTATATTACAAAATTCGTTAAATAATAAAAAATATTCCCGTGCAGATGCACGGGGTGAGAATCTAGTATATTATATTAAAACAGAAGCACATTTAGTACTTGCTTCCAAACACTCCTAATTTTTTTAAGTGTTTAAAATAATTTTAATAATTATTTATATTTAATTTCGAAAATTAGTTATTAAATTTAAATATTTTTAGAGTTCCTTAAATATAGGTAATTTAGATTTAATTTGATTTGATTAAAATAATAAATCAGATATAATTTAGATTTGATTAAAGATTTATTTAATAATTTCTATACTATAA